GACGACTCAGAACAACACCAAATTAAGTTTGCATAGGGTTCAGGAGGTGGGCTAACTATTGCAAGCATTTAAAACAGGTTTCTAACAGTTTAAGACACTTTTACAGGAGCGAAAAAGGGACATTGTTAAGTGAAATTCCCCCATAGAGAACATCGTTAAACGATGGGGGAAATTCCTCAAAGAAACCCATTGCTGTGTGAATTCATCGTTGTATGAAGCAATCGTTGTGCGAGGCACCACTGTATAACAATATCTCTAACAAATGCTGGTAATGTAAAATGCAGAAGGGTACTTTATCATATATGGTAGACATGTAAGGTAACAAAAAAGTATTGGAGATCAATACATGAAATGTAGCAAAAATTATCTTATGTGATATTATTTAAACTGGAATTGTTTTTACTAAATGTTATGACTGAAACTGTAGATAAAGAAATGAGATATTTGATATTACATGTAATTACAGCAGCAAGGATAATACATGGAAAATATTGGAAGAAAGAGGTACCGTCTCTGGAGGAACTGAAAGAAAAGATAACAGAAGTGGTGGAGATGGATGCACAAACAGAAGCACTAAATGAAAGATCATCTAAAAAAACTTTAAAAATGGAAATGGTTTTATAATTGGATACGAAATAAGGACTGGAAAGTATAGATAAAAGAAGGATGAGAACGTCAAAAGGAATGGGGAGAGGTGTAAAGATAGCTAGTCTGGAAAAATTGTTAGATGGCCAATTTAAGTGATTCCCCATTTTAACATAATTAAGTGGATGTATTTATACTCTTTCACCCTCAGGAATTTTACCATTACCTCACACGTACCCATTAACTCTTTTTGTTATTTAGTCGTTAAATCATGTCTGACTCTTCATAACCCCATGGACCAGAGCACGCCAGGCCCTCCTGTCTTCCACTGCCTCCCGGAGTTGGGTCAAATTCATGTTGGCAGCTTCGTTGACACTATCCAACCATCTTGTCCTCTGTCATCCTCTTCTCCTCTTGCCTTTACACTTTACATCAGGGTCTTTTCCAGGGAGTATTCGCTTATCATGAGACGGCCAAAGTATTGGAGCCTCAGTTTCAGGATCTGTCCTTCCAGTGAGCAAACAGGATGTATTTCCTTCAAAATGCATAGGTTTGTTTGCAGTCCAGGCGACTCTCAAGAGTCTCCTCCAGCACCACAACTCAAAAGCATAAATTATTTGGTGGTCAGCCTTCTTTATGGTCCAGCTCTCACTTTCATAAATCACTACTGAAAAAGCCATAGCTTTGACTATGTGGACCTTTGTCGGCAAGGTGATGTCTCTGCTTTTTAAGATGCTGTCAAGGTTTGTCATCGCTTTCCTCCCAAGAAGCAGGAAATCTTTTGATTTTGTGGCTGCTGTCTCCATCTGCAGTGATCATGGAGCCCAAGAAAGTAAAATCTGTCACTGCTTCCATATCTTCCCCTTCTATTTGCCAGGAGATGATGGGGCCAGTGGCCATGATCTTCGTTGTTTTGTTTTTTATGTTGAGCTTCAGACCATTTTTGTGCTCTCCTCTTTCAC